GACAAAGTGTTTTTTAGTAATAGTGTTTAAACCTTTCAAGATCTACCATGAACTCTGAGATAGTTAGGTGATGAGATATGCTAGAATTGTTTGTTTGTTTGTTTGTTTGTTTGTTTGTTTATTTATTTGTTGTTTGTTTGTTTCTGAATCTGATCTATTTATTTTAGTTTTAGTATTTTATGACTGTCAAAATTATGTGCTAACTAGCTATCATTTAAAATGTTTAACAGAGTTAAATTTATCAGTCTAGTGTTCAGTTTAGTTTAGGTTTTTTTAGGTTTCACTAATTTGTAGTTTAACATTAATTATTATTATTATTATTATTATTATTATTGAAATACTTTTATTAATTATGTATTTACAGTATGTATGTATGTATGTATTTATTTATTTATTTTATATTTTTAAAATATTAGAGTTTCTGTTTTACTGCCAAAGTTGATGTACTAACTAGCTATCATTTAAAATATGTAACAGTGCTAAATTTATCAGCACAGTCTAGTGTTTAGTTATTAATAATAATATTATTATTACTATTTGCTATTTAATATTTATTATCTACTACTATTTATTTATTTATTTATTGTAGTTTTTCATTTATTATTTATTTATAGTTTTAAAATTGAGTTTCTGTATTTTGCCAAAGTTTATGTACTAACCAAATATCATTGAAAATGTTTAATACTGTTACATTTCTCAGGGCAGTCTAGTGTTCAGTTTAGTTTAGTTTTTGTTAGCTGTCACTCTGTAATTGGTAGTTTAACAGAAGTATTTTTGACTGCCAAAGTTAATGTCCTAACTAGCTATTATTGAACATTTTAACCCTCTGGGGGTCGACGGAGGCATCATTACATTTCTGATCAGTGTAGTGTTATTTATACCTAGTGATGTTTTCATGTATATTTGCACAAATGATAATATTTAGCAACTTGTATTGTCAGTTACTTGATTACATCATTTGCAGTGCATTATGGGATGAGTAGTTCATCCTTTCAAGACATAAGTGCACATACTTGTACTGTGGTTTTCTGATTTACAAATAATTTGTGCTTCAAATCATATTCAAATCCATCAGATTCGTCTCAGAGCTGCTTGGTTTATTTTCCAGCTCAGCATTCTGAAAAAGGATAGAAATGAACAGGTAAAATATGTCTGATACCAAGGCAGCTAAAAAAAGCAGCAGCTTTTGTTAGTCCATCTTAGACAGCAGATTTTGCCTGTAAAGAAACCTCGCTGAGAGCCACCGCTGATTTATTTGTTCACTGGACTAACACACAATCGCCCAGCACTATAAAAGCCTGGAGGCGCTGTCATATTGGTAAGGACAAGAACAGCCAATAACCATTAACCTTCTAGATCACAATGGTGACCTCAGCTGTAAAGATGTCTGCTAGATTTGGTTTAACGGTCTTCGCTTTCCTTGTTGAGAAAGAGTTTGCCTAGCCAATGACAGTGCCATTTCCTTCACTTATAGGGTTAGTTCACCCAAAAATGAATTTAGCTGCGTTTTACTCACCCCCGAGGCATCCTAGGTAAGCTACATTAAAGTGATTATTACGTTTTGAATATGGATATTTTTCTTACAAAAACGCATTGATTCGCTACAGAAAGCCTTTGTTCACCCCCGGGAGCCATGTGAGACTTTTTCTTTTTATGGATGGGCAATTTTTATTTAAGTTCTTTTGGACTGAAGCAATGCAACACCTGCTGAGTGGCATTAAACAGCTTGAAAGATCAAAGACAATTTTTAATATAACTCCGACTGGATTCGTCTGAAAGAAGAAAGTCATATACACCTAGGATGCCTCGGGGGTGAGTAAAACGCAGCCTAATTTTCATTTTTGGGTGAACTAACCCTTTAATAAACCATTAAAAGTTGACAAGGCCCTGAGATGTTTGAGTCTTTGCGTTAATGTCGAGTAGGGATGCACCGATCCGATACTCAGTATCTGTATGGGCTCCGATACTGCCATTTTCTGCCGGATTGGGTATCAGTCAGACGAGACCGATCCAAATCTGATATTGTGCGTATAATATTCTGTGTTATTGTTAAGCCCCATTAAAGGCATAAAACATTGTAAAGCACCATAACATTTTCGTGCACTATATTCTAAGTGTTCTGAAGCGTTCCATAGCTTAATATTAGGTTTAGATGAATGTTGTCTGTCATCCTCCATTCAGCATAATTTTATTTTAATTATCCACTAACCTAGTTTAGAATTGTATTTTTGTCATAGATTATGATTATATATTTTATTCCATTTGTTTTGTTTTTTCTTTATAATGAAGTTGTCTAAATTTAGTAGACAAAAAGTGATGATCAGGTCAACACATAGAGGTATAGAAATTCTACACTGATTTTTAAAAAATAATAAAACAATGTGTTGGTATCGGATCGGCCGATAATCAAAATATTTGGAATCGAATCGGTTCTGAAGAAATGGTATCAGTGCATCCCTAATGTCGAGCTCAGATCATTTTGATTGGTCCTGCATTGTGTTTAATTTCCCAGTCCTCAGGGGATGGAAAGGTCCAACCAGACGGCATGTGTGACCTCCGTTCAGAGCATGTGCAGAATAATGTTACTTATTTAACATTGTGTGAAGATCAAACACCACATGGTTCTTGTATAACAAACAACAGAAGAGCCAATTAGTCAGCAGCCTTTGTGTCTGTCAGAATTAATCGTGCAGTGAATGCATGATATTGATTTGTTGACTAATATCCTGTACCTGTATTATAATAAGATTGGATAAGCTTGCCAAACCACATGCCCGAAAGGGACTTTGGCATTTAATTCTCTGAAATATTAATTCCAGGAGTCATACACAGTTATTGACTGCTGATAATAGATGTGGCTAGAAAAGGAGCTGATAAATGAGTTGTAATTAGTAAAAACACAATGCAACAAGTAGTTTGTCTATCCACAGTAAACATGTGTGACGTGTGACAGCTGATATTAAAAGTTTAACATTCATTTATGAAAAGCTGAATTATGGACCAATAGGTCAATGTGACCATTAAATAATACCGACAGTTGTAATAAGCTATGTTATGTGTCATTCTAATTTATAATTACATGTCTGTAATATGTAAACTGTTTCTGATTCTGTGTGCATATATGCATGCATAAATCAATCAATAAATACAATTACAGTAACACTTATAACTACTAACTTCTCACAGTGCAAAGAATAAAAAAACTGTATCATTAATTAAATAAATTGATATATTTTGTTATTTTTTTATTACATTAAAGTAATGAATGCTTGCTAAACTGTTTTTTTATAATTCTAATTTGATGTTTAATTGTTGAACTGCAGATATTCTTCCATAGACCTTATATTCAAATTAATATGCATTGGGGATGAACATATATTAAAATATTTATAAAAATAAGGAAAATGGTTGTGTAAAAATATTTAAGCAAACTTAAAATGCCAGAGGATGGGAATTTATACTATAGCTAAGACGTGTCTGATAATGAATATCAATTAGTTTCATGACTGGGCACTCCAGGAAGTTCACTTAGCAATGTTGAACATAACCATATTAGTATTGATGAGACGAAGCCATGTGAATATGTCATTGAGCGAACTTGTGATTTTTAAACCAGTGGATGATAAGATGGGTGAAAAATCCCATAGACTTTGGAGAAGAGACCTGATGCCATGGCAACATAGAATTTAGATGAATTAAGTATATATATATATATATATATATATATATATATATATATATAAACAATATAATTTATTCATGAGATGATTTCATGATCCTTTAGAAATTATTTGCTGATTTGATTCTCAAGAAACTTTTCTTATTATAATCAATGTTGAACATATATTCAAATGAAGAACAGTGATTTTCAATTGTAAAAATATTTCATAATAATAATGATTTTACTGCATTTTTATTAAATAAATGCAGCCTTGATGAGCAGAAAAAAATATTGAACATTAAGTATTCCAAGCTTTTATTAAGAAGTAAAATATATTTAATATATCATTTTATTATTACATAAATGTGTCTTGTTTTTGTTATTTTTACAGGAAAAACTTTAAGAAAATAATGTTTTGTAATGATTTTTTTTATCAAGTAATAAAAAGTTGCACTATAAAAAAAAAAGGTTTTTTTTACTTGTATTTTGAATTTTGCATTTCTTTTTGGGTTGTCAGTCAGTTGACTGCTGATCTTTGCTTTACCTCCCCAGGTTAACTTCATGTATTGCTGAAACTGACTTAATATGTGCTGCTGCTTTAAAAACGAAACAAATGTGCAACTACCGTACCTCGTCCAATTACAGGAAATATATTTCTTTTCATTTATTAAATGTATTTATTAATTTTCTTTAATTTAATTTTTTTTAAATAATAGAAATACTATTTTTATGAATAAATAAATACACACACACAAACAAATAGGCAGAGATATCCTTATGAACTTAAATATGTCTCATCAAACTCTTTCATAAACAAATGACCTATCCACCTTCATCTATTACTGCATGTCAACAGTTAAAGGATATGTTTGCTGATTTTCCACCAGCATTGTATTGTTACAGCGTCAGTAATATAAGTAAATTAACAGTTTTTTTTTTTGCCACAGCCTTTTTTCTCTTATTCATGTAGCACAGATTAAAAAAAAAAAAAAAGAAATTGTGTTTCTCTTGCATAAACTTTTATTAAACCCTCATCTTGCCAGTGGTGACTTACCACTTACCACTTAAACTCATTTTGTCTACATCTATTATAAAGTAAATAAGGTCATGTTTGATTTCATGCTGACTCGACTTCAGCATAAAAATCTTCCTTTGGGAGGGATGCCAACTGATAAAAAATAATTTGTAGAGACACTGACCTGCAAAGATATAAATACACTGTAATCAGGTCTTATATACTAAAGCAAATGAATTACGGCCAGTAAACAACAGTGGATGTTTTTAGTTTTTAAGAAAGTTCTTGTTTTTAAGAAGTTCTTTCCTTTGTTTCTCACTACAGTTCTCTTCGGCCAGTTTATGTTCTTCCAGACGACCCCTAATGATATGCTTGAGATCTTTGACGGGCCCTCGACAGAGTCTCCGCTCCTCACCTCTGCCCACAGCTCTCACTCTGGTAAAAGGCTTTGTTTACCGTCACCACGTGAGACCAACTAAAGGCACGTCTGCTGAGACGAGATGACATTGAACTACATGAAGGACTGCCACAGTCAGATCTCATTTCCAAAACGGCTCTGCTGCACTGAATGTTGTGTTGTTGTTAATGTGCTTCTGACATGCAGTTGGAGCGTAACGTAACATAACGTAACATAACGTAGCGTAACGTAACGTAGCATAACATACACAATTATAAATATACATTTATAATGTAATAAAGTATTTAAAATGTAATAAAGTTATAGTTTAGTAATCTAGTAAAATCTGAATATAAAAAATAAAATGTAATAATGTTGTTGTTATTATTATAATATTTAATAGATATACTAAATATTAAATATCACATACTAAACATTAAATTAAAATGTCAAATTAATGCTGTCACCCTAAATGTATTAATGATCCTAATGATTAATGTACTATTATATTATATTATATTATATTATATTATATATAAAACTTTATATAATTATATTATATAAAAGTCAGTGTAAGTAAACGAGTGACATTAAAGTTCATTTTTTCAATTCAACTTTTCACTTAAATTATGCTGATGCTGTATATAATATCATTTGTATTAAAGTAGAAAAGGATGCGATCCACACATTTTCACTCGTAGTCTCCAACTTTTGGACCGCTCTTGTTGGTGTACTGAGGACACATGATTTCCTTTAACCCTGCTGATGTGGCAGCGCTCAGCAGGCGTATTAATGGTCTCATTTATGCCATTGCTGTAGCTGCAGACAGATAACAGAACTTGTTTTCTTTCCCTCACCTCCTCAAATTTCTCTTTTGATAGGAGAGCCTTTGCCACTGAGCTCTGCCAATGAAATCACCATCAGGTTCAAAACCGAGGGACCAAACACAGCTAAAGGTTTTCATTTTGTGTATCAAGGTATGTACTTTTTGACTAATCACTTAAGGCTATGTTGGAAAAGATTACTTCCATACTACTCATGCTATTTTTGCAATGTGCAATATGTACTTTTTTTTTTTTTTAATAACTGTATTTCTGCACTGTATGCATAAAATGTTCAGTATACAACACCGTACATTGTGTGGAATAATGTATTTCATGATGCAATGTGCTCAATCTTCTAGTTCTAGTGTAACTAATATACTACAAACAATATATATCGTAGTTTATGTAAAGTAACTGATGATAAATACTAAATGCTATAGTTTAAAATCTTTTATGTTTTATTTTATTAGAATGATTTTTTAATACAAAATATGTATTCAGTATAGTGTATACTGCAAGCACTGTGCAAGTTTGGGGTCGGTAACATTTTTTGTTAAAAAAGGGCTGCATTTATTTGATTAAAAATATATTTAAAAACATAATATTGTGGAATATTTTTACAATTTAGAATAACCGTTTTCTCTTTGAATATATTTTAAGATGTAATTTATTCCTGTGATGCAAAACTGAATTTTCAACAGCCGTCGCTTTTGATTAATTTCATGTAATTTGATGTGTTGGTGTTGAATAGAAGTATTTAAAAAAAAAATAGTGACTCCAAACTTTTGAACGGTAGTGTATATTTGTTTTGCAAATAAAAAAAAACAACCATAACCTTTTTCTTCTTGCATTTCTGCAGCTGTTCCAAGGACCAGCGCTTCCCAGTGCAGCTCTGTGCCCGAGCCTCGCTATGGGAAGCGCGTTGGGAATGACTTTGGATTGGGCACGGTGGTGCTTTTCGAGTGTAACCCAGGTTACACTCTGCATGGTGCCAGTGCCATCAGGTGTGAGGCAGTGCCCAACTCACTGGCCCAGTGGAACGGCACTGTGCCAACATGTGTCGGTATGTACACCCCCACACGTCTGTGTGCTCAATACTGCCCCCTGCTGCTGGGGAAGACCTGTGGCGTGGATGCAGCTATGACCAGATGACCAGACTGAGATAGAGGCTCTGGTCCAAAACTTAATGAGCTGCCCTCGCAAGGCAGCATTTTGCCCAGGCTGTTCCAAAATGATTGTGCTGTCTTCTAAAATTTTAGCCAAATTTTAAGGCAGTATTGCATGCACTCATGGAGAAGACAATCCCATAATGCACTGCAGAAGAGCTCAGCACAAAGTGAAATGTTAATTAGACAAATCTTGAATGAAATATATAAAATAGATGTTTATATTATCTATATTAATACAATTAATCGGATGATATACTTTCATTAGAGTGTGTTTACTAAACTGCATTACTAAAGTATTACTTAAATTGTAAATTAATAGTGTTTATTCATTTTCATATTAGTATTTGTATCTCCAAATTAATCAAAGATGATATACTTTAACTACATTTCTTATTTTTTATTTATATTATTAATATTATCGGTATATTATAATACTGTATATTTTAAATGAAATTAAGTAAAAGTTAATTTATTTTAAATGTCACTGTATTACTAGTATTACTTAAATGATTGAATAATAGTATTTATTCGTTTTATATTAGTATTTATAAATTTATATTCTGTTATTTCAATATGTTGTAATTAATACATTCATAACAATGAAATCAATTTATCCAAATTAGTCATAGATTATATACTTTAATTTTTAATTTTTAAATATTTATTATTAATGTATTTATTATTATAATATAACAATATATGTATTTAAATACATTATATTTTAAATGTTTAGATGTTACTAGATTGCTAAAGTTTTACTTAAGTTATTATTTACTATTTATGAATTTACATTATATTATATTTATTTTAGATTAACCTATTTAAATATATAACATCAAAATAAAGAAATGTACTATTTTACCTATTTATTATTTGAGTGTGCTGTGAATAGTTATGCTTGATTGTTAAGTAATTAGGTTATCATGATCTTTGCCTGGCAACATGTTAATGCTGAATTTCATTGAATTGAATTCATTGAGTCGAATCTGCGGCGTGCTTCGCGTGAGGAGCACTATTTGTATGATTTTCTGCATTTGTAGAGCGTTCCAGATAAGTCACCTATGTAGTTCCATTGTGGTTTGGATGCTGGTCCTTAGAAGTCACTCACTGTGCTGTGCAGCAGAGCCGGAGAGATTTGAGGGGGTTTTATTAAAAATAAATGTGCTGGGAGCTAATGGATACAGGAGCATTCACACAGTGTGGAGGCCCCTGTGAAATGCAATTTCAAGTAAATGTGAATCTCGGGGAAATCTCTTGATGCAAGTTGACAGAATACTTTCCTTCTAGCCCTGTCCTCATGCAATTTAATAGAAATGCTCCTATGAGAGAATCAACAGGCGATAGAAGTAGAGCCACCATCCTTACTCTCTCACCAACCAAACAATACGCCATCATTTTCTCAGCACAAATAGTCATGATTTTGTATTACAGAATCAGAATCATAGTGTTTTTTCTTCTGATATCCTTTCATCATAATTTTTCACCTTCACTCTTATCCTTGGAATTAATTGGCTTGTTTTATTTATTTTTGATGCTTTACCTTAAGATTTCTATGTACAGTAAATGGCTTCTTCACATGTGAAATGAGTATGTTCCTAATGATAAAATCACTGTATCGATCAGCCTCGCATTCATAACCAATAGTTCACCCCAAGATGGCCTTTTTCTTCAGTAGAACAGTAAAGATTTTTAGCTGAAACTGTGGTCCTTGGTGATTAATTGAATTCAATTCAGTGGCTACCGTTACTTTGAGAGTCAAAAAAAAGCATATCAGGCAACTCAAAATTAATAACCGTTGCTTCTGATGATATATTGAGGGCTTATGAAGCGAATTGATCGGTCTATGCAAGAAACTGAACATTATTTACAACATTATTACCTGTAATCTGTAGCCTCAGGCAAACGGTCTGGAGTGATGCCCGGTTTGACAAACGAATCGGTCTTTTGAATTGGTTCTGTTTAGTGAACTAGTTGAAAGCAGTTCACCAAATCGGACTGAACCGACCTGAAACAGTTTGTGACTCAAGCAGCACAGATCTACAAGTTACTCAATCTAAACTCACTTCTGGATGCCTGACAGTCACTCTGACTCAAAATGAGCCAAAATACAGGCGTATCTGATCCTATAATGAATTAACTCATTCAGCGCTCCAGTTCCTCCAACAGTCAGTGAACCGAGGAAACAGTTCGACTTGGACCGAAGAACGCTGATATGCACATGCGTGAACTGAGCACTTGAATGAATGGGCGAAAGTTTTTATGCTTTTTCATTGTTTATATAAAATGTTAGTTGATTAAGTTTATTCACTTTATATGCTTTAGACACGTATGGGGCCGTTCACATGTCACGCCTAAAAACGCATGGAAAACGCTAGACGCGCTGCTTTCTGCATTTTTCCAAAGCATTCGGGTGCTTGCGCTCCGGAGGCGTATGCCATTGCTAAGCAACAATTACCTGCGCTCTCCATGAAGACGCGGAAGTTTCAGCAAAGGATAATGGATTTGCAGCACTAAAAGTCACTTGCAGTAGCTCTGCTACTAAATTTGTTTAAAAATGGCTATCCCTGTACAGCTATGATCAGCTGTTCCTTCATCTTGGCTGAGCTTTCAATGTTGTTACGAGAAATGATGAAGCTGATTGGTTGGTTCTTGTCACATGACCCGCGGTGCGCTTGCGGCATTCTGAAAAGTTGAAATGTTTTTATCTCGATGTGGCGCGGACGTGCCTGGAAAAAATTAGCGCGTCGCACCGCGTGCGTCCATTATGAGCGTGAAATAACGAACTTGAGCGTGCAAAAGACGTGAACGGCCCCTAAACAATCAACGTTTCACATCATTATTGGGTGCTGTAATAATGTAATTGCATATATGTTACATCATTGCGTGACTGTGTAAACGAACTGGTGAATCAGTTCATTTGAACCAGTTTATTGAAATGAACTGTACGAAAGTATGAGTTCAAGGAAAAGAATCAAACTCTGTTTGCCTGAGGCTCTGGATTACAGGTAATAATGGTGTTAATAATATTTTGTTTCTTGCACAGACCAATTGCTTCGCTTCATAAGGCCTCAATATATCGTCAGGAGCCACAGGTAATAATTTGGTCTTGCCTGTATATGCTTCTTTTTGACTCTCAAGTGACAGTAGCTGTTGACTTGCATTTCATGAATCACCAAGGACCACGCTTTCAGCTAAAAATCATCTTTACTGTTCTACTGTACTGAACAATAAAAGTCCTCTTGGATGGCCTGAGGGTGAGTTAATTAATAGCGAATTTCATTTTTGGGTGAACTATCCCTTTAATAACCATTGAAAAGTGTCAATTTATAACTCCTAGAAATTAGCAACTGAAAACGATCAAATCCATCCCTTCTGTGAGGTCTTGTGCGGTGGTGCTGTAAGAGGGTAAATCAAACGCCGCACCTCTGACAGTAACACCTGTTATCATCGATTATTTCCGCTAAAGGGAAAAGCCTCAGTGAATCACCAGGAGTTTTATATTCATTTTTAAAGTGTGTGGGCTTTGCACACAGGGTTGCTATTGGTAACCGCTTCACGTAATTCTTTTTTTTTTATGGCATTTTCTGCACAGGTGCTGCAGGTCCATGTGTCCATTACTGGATTCACCTCTGTCACTTTATGCTGTGTCTCCTGAAATAATTCTTAAAATAACATGCACACACATTGTTATTGGGATGTTTTGATGCTCATTATTCAGCAGCTAATGTCGTGGCCTAGCACACAGTCTTCTGACATGTGGGAGGGAGGCACGGGTTCAGTTTCAGTTTTAAGGATAATAATAGGCAGATCTATTTTGACACGTCTGCTGTCACCTGTCAGTCACACACGGGTGGTGAATAGAGTTGGTACCAGCACTGCAGAAATACTGGTATCATTGGCATCATTTTAGTATTTAAAAGATGTAATAATAGCAATCTTTCTGTAGTATTGCTAATACCGAGCGTTGGTGCTGAAGTACCTGTATAAAAAGTAGCTAACTACACTGAAACTGGGAAATATCTCTATAAAGATGAATACTAATTAATTATGTATTTAGAACATTAATCTTAATGTAATAATTAGTATTTAATAATTACTTTTTTGTATATTTAATATAGCTAAAATAATAATAAAAGAAAATGCTATTAATTTGATTCAAATATCATAGTAATATTTTATTAATTTATCTAAAGTGGTATTTTAATACTATTTCTGCATAATACTAATTCTGCAATTAGAGCATTAATCTAAATTATAGTGACAACAATCATTTTGAATGTAATATTTCAAGGTATTTATTAATATTTCTTATTTACATTCTCATTTAAAATAGAAAAATAATAATTAAATTACAATCTCAAAATTATAATATTATATTGTTAATAATATAATTTAGTATATCTATTATGTAATCTAAAATAACAATTAAAATTAAAATTTTATTAAAATATTAAATTATTTTATTATATTTCTAATAAATCAAATTCATTCTGCAATTATATTACTACTAATAATAAATGCTGCATTATTCTGCATTATTTTAAATTAGAGTGACAGCATTAATTTTCCATTTTAATTTATTTTATTTAGTATTTACTAATCTAAAAGTTGAAAACTAAAAAAAAAAGGTTAAGATTATAAAAGTATAATACAATCATTTTAATAAAATAGTAATTACATTGAAATATAGTTTTATTAAAATTATATTATATTGTATTGTATTGTATTGTATTGAATTACATTACATTACATTACATTACATTACATTACATTGCATTGTATTGTATTGTATTGTATTGTATCGATAATTTAGTATATCTATTATGTAATCTAAAATAACAATTAAAATTAAAATTTTATTAAAATATTAAATTATTTTATTATATTTCTAATA